GCATATAACCACATTAGCACATAATACTCACATTAAAACTCTAGATTTTTATATATTAATGCTGCATGTTTGTCAGCTCAAACGGCAGGTAACTTTGAGCCTAGTTTGTATTATTCATTGTATTACCGTGACTACAGTCAGATGACTTGTATTGTTTTTTTTTTTTTTTAAAGTTCTTCGATTATTTTTGTTCTCTCAAACTTTAAATGCCAAAAAAAAAAACAAAACAAATCAAAGCCAAGCGGCGACATTAAACGTTGACTCCAATGAGTTCACGAGTGGCGTCCCCTCTGATCGACGGCACGATCACAAGGCGGCAGCACTTTACAGAGACGACAAACAAGAGTTTCCCACAAAAGACACCAAACAAGTAGTTTGATACAGACCCAAAGAGAAAACATATCAAAAGACATTTTTCTACATGTCTTTTGCAAGTACAAAAAGCCCAAGCGGTGTCAGGAGAAAACAAAACAGAAGCCTTGTTTTTTTTTTTTTGCAACAATTGCTTTAAGCAACAAAAATCTCCTCCGGTCCCAAGTCTCTCCTCAATGTCAGCTCCCTGCACCCCCCTACCCCCACCCCCCACCTCCTCTTTTGGCTCTGCCGGGCAGGACAGGGCCCTCCGTGCACTCTGATAGGTTGCAGGCTGATGCTTAGCAACAACATTCCTGTGCCCCAAGTAGCAGTAAGCCTCTGGCTGAACCCTTTCATGTGGCTGTCAGGCCACATTTATTTCCTTTTAGCACTTTGTCTACTTGTCCAGATGTATAAGGAGATAAAACAGCCTGCTGTTTACACCATTCTCCCTCTGTAGCGCCGCTGTAATTAGATTGTATGGCCGCTCTGTCTTCAGTGGCGAGGTGAGCCCGGGTCGACGCGGGATAAGCCGGGTTGCGCATCCGCTGCCTAAACTTCAAATAAGTTTCGAGGAAAGGGGCGAACCGCTCTCTGAATGTTCTGAACTCCCATTTACACGTTACGGTGGTATGAAAGGCAAGAATGCTTTCTTGAGTAGTTGCGAGTACCATCGTTGACATTGTCGTGTCTTCTTGAGGTGGCATGTGTTGTTACTCGACAGTGTTTGAAGTATCGCGCTCCACTCTGGATCGGTTGCTTGAAACTACCATCAATCACCAATCACTTCAAAAAAACAACATGGCCAAATTTAAAGTTTTGGAATTTTTGAAATTTGCAACTCACCACGTTAAAATGTGAAATCTGTCGCATTGTAATGTGACGTTTATCACATTAAAACCTGAACTTGATCATGTTATAATGTGAGATTTAACTTGTCATATTCTAACCTGAGATTGATTCTGCTACAACCTGAAATCTATCGCGGAAAATGTGAAATTTGATCACGTTTCACAAAATTTTTGTGAAAGGAAATCTGACACCTGTTTCCAACTTTGGAAGTATTTTCGTCCATTTGTTAGTACATAATGTTTGGATCTTATCAACAAAACTAAATTCACTTTTAACAAGCAGGTAATACCAATTGATGCTAATCCAATTTTGGGATGATTTCTCCTTTGCGGAGATTCATCCTGTATGTGATGCTTGTTAGCATCTTGGATTTCCTGGACTTTTAAATTGGATCAAGTGAAAAAAGCATACAAGCAAAACACCCTTCCAACTGTCTCGTCCTTTCAAGAAAACCCACATTTGAGGTATTTACGTATGTTTTGCATGCGTCGGCTTTGCCTTACCTCCCAACCCTCCCCTGCCCTGCGTCATGGTGACACGATGGAAGTAATAATCACTATTGCCTCTGGCTTTATCAGCATTTATTCCCATCACAACACTGAAAAGGCGCCGACAAGACAAGCCCTGATGCGATGATGTATGATCCAGAGCGGGGCGTCATCTTTCATGGTGACATCTAACAGAGCTTCCTTTTCTCCACCGCCACGCACTTTCTTCTTCTTCCTCTCCTCCTCCTCCTCTCTGTCCAGCCTTTTATTAACACACAGAGTCCTCGCCTGTAAATTTGCGGCGCATTGTCATGTGGCGTGGTGATAACTCACACCGCGTGGAGACAATAATGACGCGACCACTCAGCATATGCCCCGGGCCCGGCAAATTAAAACAATGCTCAGCTTGATGAGCAGACTAATCTGGACAGCAGAGAGGGGAAGGGAGTGGCGGGGGAGGGAGAGGGAGCAAAAGGAGTGTATTAAATACACAACACAGCAGCACCTCCCTCTGTTCAGTGTAGGTAAGACCGGAGAAGAAAGTGACGGGAGCGCCAGTGCACAAGTTTTCAACGTTAGGTACACTTGCACAACATAATGAAAACCACCCAAATTCCTCCTGTAAAATTATAATATCAGTATATATGAGAGAGAGAGAGAGATTGGATTTGAGTTTGGTTCCCTAAAAGTAACTTGAACAACTTGAAAGAAAATCCTTCTCATCACCAAACATTGCTGCCGTGCTAGGCTATTGACTGGAGTATATTAAGTTCAGGCAACATGGCAAAGAGGCGCTTCGGGCCTGGAAGGGGCCTGATTGATGTTCTGCGAACGAGGTAGAATCATCCCCCCGTGATAGGACGGGATGTGACGAGCAAAGCTGTTGAATGGCGTTGGCTCTTTTGATCAGCAGGTGCGAGTTGAACCGGCGCTTTCGTGCGAGGTGTGCCGGCCGGGCGGGTGGCGATTCTGAAAGCAAGGTGACTCGAGTCCCTCGGGATCAAAATAGGGGAGTGTAAGTAGAAGGAGGGGAGTTGATGAGTCTCAATTCACTCCCTTGCCTCCTCCAGCATCCTAACAGAGTTTGTGTGTGGTACTGCTAATAATGTGGCGACGAAGAAGATGAATTGTAGGCAAGCAAATGGATTACAGGCAGAGAGGAGGGAGGCCCAGGTTTGTGATCTTTCTTGCGGGACAGGAAATGAGTCCAAGAAGTATAATCATGATGCCTCTGAGGGGCATGTGTGTGCATAACAGTGGAAACCCCAAAGTGGAGCCCCAAAAGTGATACAATTTGGAGATGAGACCGAAAAAAAAGGACCACAAAAAAAAAAATCAAACAAAGTGGTTCGAATCAAGCCACGTCGGCAAATCTTGTGATGAGCTCGTAAAGCAGGCGGTCACCAACGTGGTTCCCGCAGACATCGGGTAGCCCACATGGACCAAATGAGTAGCCCCGGGCCTAAAAAAATGATCATTAAATATTAGTACTAGCATACAATGTTTAATAATATGATTTAAGGTAACAGGAAATGGAACTTTGGAACATGTAAAACAGTCTGGCTGCTCACTGTGATATGTTAAGATGATCGTACCATGACTGAGATCGCACTTGCCGACAGAAATAGATTTCTACCATGCAAACTTGAAAGACAATACAGTAATGGCGCATGACAACCATGAATGTGACCGCAGAACATTGCTAACAAACAATTTTCTTTTCCTTTACTAAGCACGGAACATATTAATTCACTTAATGTTATTTCCAATGGAAACTATAGTTTTGAAACGAGAACGTCAAAGACAAACCATCAACCCAGTCCAAACTGTTCAACGTTGGAAGTTCCATCGTACTTTCTTTCCAAAAATCGCTCCTCCTTAAGATTGAAACGTCACATCTCACTCTGTACAATATGTTCCCACTTTGCCTATGTTTATTTTTATTTTTTTAATTTTTATTCGGCATTCCATAGGAGTTCAGCACTGATGCAGCTTAACAGATGTTGAGCCACCGCGGAGGCGGCGAGCTGCAGGTTCGCTGTCAAAACGCAGCTTCCAATTTTCAGGCCGTTTCCTTCCCAAATCGCAGTCCAGCAGCATGCGTGGAACAAAGTCACTTTTTCTCCACGTTGATGTAATATGAGACACATGGCGGCCCGACCTTAATGCCTTTCAGAGATCCTATCGGAAAGCACATTATGTGATCTGTTTCAATTCAACGTGCTCTTCTTGCCCGTGATAAATATGGTTCCATTTAGCAGAGCGGGCCGTTGCATTTCTCAAGGTTATGCATGGCCATGTAGAGGAACAACAATGAAAAAAATAAATAAATAAATAAATAAAATGCACCGCCAAAACCATCGCTAATATGTATTTGTCAGTTGAGTCTCTTGCTATGATTAAAGGAGCGGCGGATTCCTTTCTGCAGGAAAGGAAAGTATTTCTGCAAAGGCATCAGATATGGCCGTGTCATGATGAAGTACCTCCTCCGCTAGTTAAAAGGCTAAGGGAAGGAAGGAGGATGTTTTGGACCTTGAAAGTGCGCCAAAGAACAAAAACACAACAAACTCTTGACCTGCTTCGGGGACATTACGTACTCAATAGATTCAGGATTGTGTTTTATGTTGGGTTTTTTTCCCCACCTTATTCTAATTTTGTGCAACAACTTATTGTTCAGCACTGGGGTGTGAAAATGCATTTTGAAACTCAACAGAAGTGAAGGTTTATTCGATTCAAACTTCGTTATTCAGTCGAACTATTCGGTCACTTCCAAATGTTCTAATTGGATAGATTGTAGTGATCCAATTTGGCCATGAACCATCCAGGCGCTGTTTTCAGTTCCAATTATTCATCATGCAAGAATAAAAAGACCACTGTAGAAATAAATGGAAACTTGCTCACCGTTTAATGGCGCTTGATAGTTACGGGTCATGGAGAGATAATCAGATTGTATTATTTACGAGTATTACTGTAAAAAAAAAAAAAAAGAAAAAATCCCAGAATTCTTGTGGAGTTGCTCTTTTAGATGCTCCTTGAGAAGGTCTGATGAGTTCTGCTGACGTTTGACGTCAACTTCGGCACGATGATGGCTTTAACGGCAGGTTTTGTTTGACTTTTGCTGTGTATTTGTTTGAAACCGCGGTTATCGTTTTTGTCTGTCCAACATTAAAATGTCAAAATGCTTTGAGCATCTGAACAGAAGAAGTCCTTGTGGAAGTTTTGTTACGATGACTATTTGACATCATGTCAAAAGCTGCCCCGGCTTTTTCCATTAAAATGCTGCATCGCGTGTCTCCTCTCTCGCAGCCGCCGAACGAAGCTGGATTTGAGAACCGCCCTCTGCCCTACACTCCCCTACCCCGAGGATCCAGAGATGCTTCAAACCACAAAGGTAAGGGCAACATTAAGACCTTTTTGACGTCATAACCTTTTCAAGGCAGCCCGCTGTATACACCGATATGCAATTAATAGCGACGGGATGAAATATGCATTCGGTCAAAATCCAGGCCCGCCGATTATGGAAATAGAAGTTGTGACCCCCAACAAAAGCGGAGAGTGGGAATCTATTGAACTTCAGCGAAATGAAGTCATTCTTATCTTTAGTTTTATTGATCTCGTCTCATCAGTCTGATGTGTTAATAGTGGGAATACATCGGATTAACGCTCATTAAATCCGGCGCGCGTGTACGTGTGGGAGCGTACGTGGATCCTTGATCTGTTAGTACAAGGCATTGATTAGTTCTCGTATTGACCCAAAGGAGTCGTCCGTCCTTATTGTGTCGAAACACTTTTGACATTCGGCATAACTTGCCTTCAGACTGAAGACGATCATGAACTATTTGCAAAAGCCCAAACCTTTTAAGAAAATGGCAAACAGCCATCGTGTCTGTATTACTTTGTGCCCAAACATAGTGGATGTGGTTTTATTAAAAAACAATAACAATAATTATGACTTTGAACAAAAATGAATTATTTCGACATATTAAAAACACAGTCAGCTTTGAGTGACAAAAATTATGACCATGTTTGTGTTTTAGTGGTGATGCACCAAGATCTTTTGACAGTACGCATCGCTTGTCATAAACAACACTGCTAGACAACCAGTGGCCTGCACAAAGAACCACAGCGTCCCTGCACGCCAACCATTTACTGTATAGCGCCAAGGACAGATCAATGTCATTCGAGCAAGACTAGTCTAGCGGCGCTCATCATAAGATGTGCTTTGTCCAAGTCCAACCTGGCTATGGAGACCATTTAAAGGTGAAGACAAGTGACAGATGCAATATTTTCCATCCTGTCTCAGATCTGAGCGCTGGTGACAGTCTCCATTTGTTGAGGGTTTTTTTTTGTTTGTTTGTTTTTTTTTACATTGAAGCACCGCCAACTTAGATGAGACATGCCTCATCTTTGCCGTCCGAGTCATCTTTGCCTGGCTGCCTCAGAGCCCCTACTGTTCTTTGTTAATTATTTGTTTGACTTGAAACATTTATCTGATGCTCAACCCAAACAAGTGAGTGTTTGCGTGGGTTCAATCTAGGATATAAACAATTTGAATGAAACCATATGCTGATGACTGATTTTCAGTGCGACACAGTTTTTGCAGTTGTAAAATAAACAACACGGGCCATCTGCGGACTTCAAATATGGTACGTTTTGACGCCTTGAGAAGCAGATCCACTATTTTTTTTTTAAATGTGGAAGGAAGTTGCATTGTCTTCCTGTGGTAGCGCTTTACTATGTCCGCCCTCCCCCTTCGCTGCACGTTGTCACCTGTGTCAAGACGTGCCAGAGGTAATTTCAGCTGCTAGTAGCTCCCAGAGGATGGCAGCACTGGCAGGACACCCCCCTTGGGACAAAAGGGATGGAAAAAGCAAGGACACAAGTCCAGAAAAAGCTCCTGTCTTCGCTGGCTTGAAGAGTCAAACTGGAGGAGACAAGGCAGCGAGGAGACGTTAAGGCAGGATTAAAAAGAAGATATGGAAGTGTTTCATTGAGTGAGTCTGACACCGAACAAGAGGAAAAGATTAAGGGGAGATGAAAAGACGAAGGGAGCAGTCGGGATAGGACTTAAAAATCAGATGAAAGTAGACAAAAGACGACGCCGAGGAGGTTGGTGGGGGGATCCGTAGTGTCTGCTTGAAGGCGTAACACAGAGCCAAGTGGACTATGTGGTCTGGCAGAGAGGCCCGAGGATTCTCCACAACTGTCACCTTGACTCTGACTCCGAGGACTGCTCGCCATTGTCAAGTTCACTCTAAATCTAACAGCCCATAAGTGAGTCCCAGTCTGCATGTCTCCATACATAAACTGGTTTGTCTGATGCTACGTGTCGTCGGCTTGGGTTGAAACGACGCAATTCCATTTTTTGGGTGGTCGTGCGCATCTGTGGTGTGTTTTACTGACATCGGGCTAGCATTGATAAGTGTGGCCAACCGAATTAACATGAAAAAGCCACTCAGTAAATGGATGCTGACGCAGCAAGAGCAATGAGGGTACTTCAGTGTGATTCCTGCGGCCGCGCTGGTCGGTGGCCGACACCGAGCTGCAACTTGCAGCGAGCGTTGTCTAAGGGCTGGCTACCAAAATGACAGAAAGTGCGGCAAGAGTAGTGTCACCCCTGTCATTTTGCATTCATTGCTCTTGAATTAGCTGCCGGAGTCTTGTCAGAACTCACCTTCACACAGTCAGCTTGGACATACATCAAGGCGACTTGATGATTCTCCAGCTTCATCATTGCAGCCAAAGTTTTGTGTATTAGCTGCCCCTGGCATGATCGAACTCCTTGTTGAGCTGCAGTCATTTTTCGCTGATATCCGATTAATATCAGGACTTTAATTTCCATTTGATTCCGATTTGAATATATCTGATAAACTTTCCTGATCGGCTGCCAAAAATCCAGATGGCCTGCCAAAAACGCGACCGTGGGACTGCGGGATAGCAACAAATGGAAAACCTCTAGCTCGGTAGTGTCAATTCAAAGTTAGCATTTCCATACGTTCCGTGCGAAACAATATCGCCGCTCTCTTATTGTTAGTCAGCCTGCCATCTTCTCTGGATGACTCACAAGTTTATTTCACAGATCTAATTATAGCCGAACAAGTGAAACCGACCTTTCAGACTTGATTGATACATCCATGCGCGCCAAGGATATTTTAATGAAATGCCTTTCATTTCCTCCGTATATGTAAATAAATGTGGCTGGCAGTAGGAGTATGCTGCTTTCATACAGGTATCAGATTAAATTTGAGAAGGCCATTCCTCAACGGTGACAACAGTAAATGAAAGGGATATCTTTGTACAAGCCGAGTAAACAGACAAGGAAGAATGCCTCATATGTGCCTTCCAGTATGAGCCCTGGGCCCCTTTAATCTTGTTGTTCTGGGCCAGCTTCCAGCTACTTTGTATGGATGTATCTTAAATAGTGCACGATTGTTATTAAAATCCCAGGAGGAAAGCAGCCTTCAAAGCTTTAAAAAAAAAAAAAAAAGATGGAAAAAAAAAACAACTACTTCCTGACGACACCCATGGGGCACATCACATTTGTTTGCCACGTTCATTTCATGTTGGGGGTGATGTGCGCTGCAACTCCCACACCGACACTTCCGCCACCCCGAAAAAAAAAAATGGGAGCAATGGGAACGGATCCAAACTGGAAAGTAAACTGTTTTATAGTTGCAGCACAACAAATAAACAAACATCTGGAAGCATTCAGAGCAGCCCATTAGAAGGGCTCTGGGCCTTGCCAAAAAGGGGTAAATGATGAGGAATGGGCTGTCGAGAGGCTGGTGGAGGCCGGGGAGAGGCCAGATGACGGAGCTGTGGGTGCTAAGCGCTGCCTTTTAAAGCTCAGCTGGGCTCACACTGATCTCCACCTGCTGCTTTCGCCGCCTCCACCGCCAGACATCTGGATGGGATACATGACTAATGGATGACTAAACTGCCAGTGTTGAAACTCGCCGCGATGAAGGGAAAGGTTGTGGCTTTGACGGATGACTTCATGTTTCTCTGTGCGAATGCACTGAGCCCCCCACGCCAAGCAACTTTGACGGTATTCAAGTTCATCGATTGAAACCGGTACGGAGTTCGGCAACAGTGATTTATTGCTCTCGATTGAATGGCCACTGTGAATAATCACGACGTGTTAGCATCATAGCTTTGTTTTCATGTACAATATTCTCTTGGATAAAAATCACTTTTACTTCAGTGGTCTGGCTTATTTTACCCCCCCCCCCCTTAAAAAAAAACGAACTAAAGGATAGGACTCTTAATTATTGTTTTCTCAACTTCTTAGTTTTCCTTTATTCTCAAGTTTTCATTTTCATAAAACAGTTTGCACAATTATCTTTTGAACTTGGTGGGAATCGTTTGACAAGCAGCCCTTTCCTGTAGTGCAGAGAGCAAGGTCCCGTTGCAATATGCGCGGCTGAATACGATTGGTGTGGAACAATTCCAGAGCCCTGACCTTGACCCTGGACTCTTTTAAACTGCTTTTGAATGAAGTAGACCAGAGAAAAATTCTTTACTCCCGGTAAGTGCCACAATATTTTTGTTAATATAGTGAATTTCTTTTTTTAATCCTCTAGCTATACGTTTATTGCAGAAAAATGCATTTGAAAGCATAAGCGAGAGCACCAGGTAGATGACAACTCCAGGCAGTGAGCAGAATAGGCAGCAGCAGCAGCCAGCATATGTGGCAAAAAGTATTTATGCAGATGTTGATGGAGTATGCATGCTATGGAATCTATGCAGATGCATGCCAATGATATGTTTTCATCATCCCAGCCCGCGTCGGTGGCTCCGTCATTCAAACGCATCCGTTCAACGATGATGTAGTGTATCTCCTGCTGCATATCACAGCTCATCACAATGATGATGAAAGCAGGCTCTCTTTTCCTTTATCTTTGGAAGATGATATTGTTTCTCCCATGAGTGCATTGGCTCACCAACGTGACTGGCCATTACAGGCGAGACTACGGAGATGGATGACTGGAAAGTTGGATGAGGCGGATCTGGGAAGGGATAAGGGCAAGGGAAGCCGGGCCAGCAATGCTTTACTGCGCTGTCCGCATCCAGAGTAATGAGCGCTGACTTCTGGAGGCAGGCCTCGTCCTTATTTGTCACCCTGGATGGAAGGCAGGACTGCGGCGGCTCTTTTCTTTGCTCGTATTAAAATGCAAGTATCACCTCCTTGGTTTCCATGACAGCTTTAACTGCTGAACTCTTGATGTGGCAGCTCTCGAAGAAGCCGCCTTCCATCAAGTGTCGTTAGCGCTCCATTACCGAATGGCACTCCTCTCGCAGTTTTTAAATAATTCTGTTTGTGTGCACTTTGAGAACATGTCTGTCTTTTTTTTTCCCCCCTTACCTTTGCTGTTTGATGTCGCTGAGAGA